CTAAGCCTTAAAAAAATAAGAAATCCCATCTCCTATGACTCACGCTAGAATCACTTTTTTTTACGTTTTCTGTCATATTCTTATCATCATGAATCCCTCCGTTTGTGATCGGCACCGTTTTGGTTTTTAACAGCACAGCAGATGCAACACGCAGATTTAAAACTCGACAGACAAGAAAAGTGAAGCTATCGTGATCGATTCATGTGACAGACTGATAATTAACGATTCGGCGACGCCCCTTGCCAAGACATGATGGACAGTCCACCCACATTAGATGACATCGCGCATCTGTTTGGGAAACGCGCTTTTGACTGGAGCTCATTTGCAAGGATTTCCAAGTCAGAATTCGTGAAAGTGCGAGCCCTGGTATTCGCAGAAAATTGGCTCCTATGAACAAATTGGCCCAATGACTGTTCAAGTTTTGGTGTGTCCTGTTCTGAGAGACTCATCTACCAATTTCAAGTCGATCCGGGAAATGACAAGGGTTTTTTTTTTCTGAATTTCCAAGTGCTGTGACTTCAGCGTCAGACCTTTAGGACAGTTGCAATCGAGCTCAGGCAGCAGAGATGGAACAAAAACGGTTTCGCAGTGATATTTACTGGCGATGAATAGCAACATGAAAAAGCGTTCTTCGCTGTTTATTTATAATATTCACCAACTGTGAGTTCCCGGCCGGCATAAAAAGAAAAGCCTTTGGAGCATTTCAGAAGTGGCCTGCTTGTTCTAGACCAGTGGCTCTTAACCTGGGTTGGATCGAACCCTAGGTGTTCGGTGAATCGGTCTCAAGGGTTCGACGGACCCTCTACCATGGAGTTTAAGACACACCCGACTCAACATGTCAATTAGTTATGACACGCCCACTTGGTCATCACTGGCTGCAAATGATCACGACATTGCTTACCGGTCTTGAGCATGGTAGGCACACCCCCATGTTGTGACCTCCAATTACCGTACTGGCCCGAATATAAGACGGCGTTTTTTTGCATTGAAAAAAGTGGGGGTCGTCTTATATTCGGGGTCTAGACATTATACCCATTCATGACGCTAGATGGCGCCAGATATCATTGAAGCGAATGCTAAACTTGACTCCCCAGGCCAAAGTGAACCCCTGTCACAAAGAATAAAAATAAAAATAGCGGTAGCACGAAGAAGAAAAATAAATCGTCGTATAATCAGCGCCGTCTTATATTCGGGCCAATACGGTATGTGTGCATTCCATAAGCACAGTATTCTGATTAAATGGCTTTCAGAGGATTCATTTCATCCAGAACAAAATAAATCAAATATTTTCTCCATCTGAGTCGTCGCAGCTCACAAATCCCCACTGGCCGACGACACGTCCGCTACATGGGGTATGTTCAAAATTGAAGTGTGCATTCTAGTTTTCACTGATTTCAATTACATTCATAAGTCTCAGGAAAGATCAACATTTCTATTATTTCCGCACAGCCTCAGCTGTCATTGAACCCTGTCGCTTTGGCCGTTTCCATGTTCGTTCCCAGCATACTTGCGGTGGGTGTGTCAGAAGTCCGGATGGAAAGAATGAAAAGTGCTCAAACCCTGGCGCGTCAAAAACAACCAAACAGAAGACTGAATATGGCCCTACATCCTGCAAATATCAGGAGATTATTGTCATAAACAACAATGCCCTAATTTCTTAGTTGTACCACAATCCTCTAAGGACAAAAAAAAAAAAAAAAGAGTCTGTGTGTTGATTCGGATTCCCGCTTTCACTTTCCCGTCTGCTTACGTCTCTTATTCCCCCCAGATTGCTCGGATTCGCCGCAATCATTTTCCATCCTGGAATTTCCCTTCGATGCTAACTGAGTAGGGTCTAATTGATTTCTCTTGTTGGTTCCAGGCTTGGAGCTGCGCGGAGAGAGGCCTTAATCCTCGCGGCTTTCATACCCGTCACAGCGGCGGCGGAATTTATATCGCGAGAAAGAAGCAGCATGTGCAGTGAGCTCACCGGCCGGAATACAACAAAGGATCCCTTAATTGGGGAGAAGTCAGCGCCTGGATCACATAGATCAAACTTAATGGCGTTCACGTCTCCTGCGGAAGGCAAACATTGTCGTATAGTGCAACTTAACAAGCGTCTGATTTACGAGCGGAGCCGCGGAAGTAAACAGCACAGGTGAGTCGCTTTCGTTGGGCGCAGCATTTTTAGAGATTCGCGGGGGCAGGGGGGGGGGGCGCTTCACCTGCTTATTTGTCACGCTAAAAGCGTCAGTAGGACTAAACAAGGAAGCAGTCGGGTGTTAAATATTGTATGCCGTGCACCGGCAGTAGTTTTAGATGGGGAGGTAAGAAAAAAATTGGCAGGCGCTCAAGGTTTTTGAGGGGTTTTTTTTTTTGTTTGTTTTTTTTTAACACAATGTAAACAATTGCTTCAACTGGAACTTTTTGCTGGGAAGAAGAATTCATGACCTCGGGCGAAAAGGCATTCAAGCAGGTCATGATCAGACAAATGTCATTGCAATAATTTATACACTCTGTATTACATACAAAATTCTAAGGACAAGTCAGGTACTAACCCTCACAAACACAAGAACAGGACTCTAAAGCCAACGAAATAAAAAAACAAACGGGGACAAACGTAGGCAATCACAGTGAATTACTTGGGATGAACTAGAAACCATAACTGGGGGACACGCCCATATCGAAAGCAAACAGGAACAGGAAAAAAATGCAGTGCCGAATGGAGTCATTCACATTAAATTCTAATTCGCGACTCTATTAGATATAAAACATAATGGGAAGCACGCCCATCAGGACATTCAGATGACAAACCGAGAGGATGATGCTCCTGAGCAGAGCCATTTATTTATTTATTCAAAAATGGATGCAGCGACAGATGTATTAATTTGCATTCATTTCACTAGCGCTGCTCTGTATTAAATATCAACATAGATAACGGGGGACTGCCACCTTGCCCTGCAAATATTCTATTCCAAGAATTCCGAGACAAGCCTGCCTGGCAAAACCTTGACCATCGTAGGCTGTTGCTAGGCAGACTCTATGGGGCAGAGTTTTTTTGGGTTTTTTTAATTGGAGGAAGGCATCGTATTTGTCTCCCACAGATACTTTGGAATTCATAAAAAAATGAAAAGCGCAGCGTGACAGTGTTTATTTTTTTTTCAGACATTATTTTAGGACAGCTCAATGGTTTGCTGGAAATAAAAAAACTACTGTGCCAGGTTTAGCTAATCATCTGACTGAACAGCCTGAAAGGAACAGAAATGTTTGGATCCCTAAGCCGTGGACCGCCATCAAAGTGGTTGTCACCGGTACCGGTACATTGTTCAATTAACGGCTTGAGATTTATGCTCGCCTAAAAAGGTACCACACAGGGTAAAGAAAGCCGAAAGTTTTATCAGGGTATGTTCAAGCATGAACTTCACTGCTGCTGAGGAATGTCCAAATGTCAATCATAGTTTGACATAGGAACGGACTGATATGGGAAATCCAGTGGAGGCATCAGGAAAGAGACTCACTCAAGTACAGTGCTTAAAGTGCCTGTAAAGGGAAAATAGATGTCAATTTGGCACACCACAGAGAAGTGTGTTCATAAAAACTGCCAATTTCATAAAATGAGACTTGAAAACCCTGAAAATAAAGAAATAAATATGCCCTTGGCTCAAGCTCTAAAGCGCTGTGGGTGTGGCCACTAAATGTGCTGAAACCGCGACACACTCAAGTGTCAATTGTCAATCAATTATCACTTCCAAAACCTGTAAAAAAATCATAAAAAAAAAAAAAATGGATGCAACGTCTTTCTCGTGCCTGAACATAATTACATGAGCTGCCAAAATATTTAAACTTTAACCCTCCGGTGGCTGGAATGTAACCCACTGGGCTTTTTCAAAAGCGGCACACCAGCCCGAAGCCACTATCCACACACTTGCGGACAGAGTGGACTCTTGGAAAAAAGAAAATTTCCCTCCTCCTCACTCTTCTGTGTCTCTCAGCATGACGTGCATGCGCACACTCAAGGAAAAAAAAAAAAAACGAGGCACTCTAAAGCGGCCATGACAGCGACTGCCCGAAAGGAAGATGCAATTTCGGGGTGTAAGCATGATGTGAATGAGGGCACCATGTCGACTCAAGTGCGTCACTGGGCCTCGGATTAGCCACACCCAAAAAGAACAGTTTCACAATTGAGTACTACACATTCTTATCGAAAGCAATTTACCTTCAAACACATCCAGTTTACTATCTTTAGAATTCTCTGAATTCATATTACAGGGTCTTTAACTTCTTTTTGCACTTACATGAAGGTGGGCAATGTGGATTTGGTGTATGAATAAAATTCTGCTGTTTGGCGGAATAGAAATGCGTTCATGAATCACTGTGATAATGTCACACAGTTCTAGAACGAACAAACATTGCTACTATCAGGTCGATACTGTTTTGTTCCCCCAGGGCCAAAAAAAGCACCCCGAAAAGCACATTTGCAATAGGAAGGAAAAAAAAATTGTGTTTTGTCAATCTTGGTCACTTTAACACCATGTAAGACAGCAAATGGGTGCCAGGTTAAGACCACCTAAGGTGTCAGTAGGGTGGGGAGGTTCGGGGGCCAGGGGAGCCCACTTCCTTGCAGCGGACAGCACGGAAGTACGGTCAGCGGCGCCCTATCACAACACGTACGCTCATTGCCACATTCCTCATTCACTTTGCCCAACTTTTCCACAACAACCTCAGCTTTCAACACAACCATTCACCTTTTGAAGCTTCAAATAACAAGTCTATGCCTCTACATACCAAAAAAACGTTCTGTGTCTAAAAACTTTTCTCAGCATGCCCCCAATTATGATGCTGCAGTTGCTGCATCCTGCTTTTTTTTCTTTTTTTTTTATTATGTGTCATTCATCAGTGTTTGATGGTGCACAGTGTGGGGCATAAGCGATAGATAAATGATGGAGGATGTGTGTGGTGGAACATCACGCATCCCAACTTCACCGCACATGAAAAGATGCAGAGAAAAAGTGTTCACTTACTATACACGCCGGAGCGGTTGAACGGCAAAGCACCCGATAACTGTGTTTAAAAGAGAGAGGGGGGGGCGGGGGGGTTTAGGTGATGGGGTTGCCACAATCAAAATTGGAATTTTGTCATCATCAGCACATCCAAACGTCTTACATACCAGGGCTTGAAGGTTTGAGTCCTGAAGAAATTCCAGAGGAGTCCCTTTCATCCAAGTCAGAACACAGCAATGCGTTTCTTATTCCAAAAAAGGTGTTCTTTGTTTTGTTTTGTTTTGTTTTGTTGCGAACTGTAAAAGAAGAATTCCATTAGCCACCCTCAAAAGTCCAAGAGCTGGGATGAGCGGGGGGGAAAAGTCAAAATCTAGATCATTGTAAAGGTGGATCGGACACATGGTACCTGCTCTCTTGAGCACCGTCTGGATGAGAGCGCCAAGAAGAAGACGGGCAGGGAGCAAATCACGCTTTTCCCGAGGAAACTGAGCCGCTGCGCGCTGTCACATTTACACCATCACGCGTGCACATCCAAACGCACACACACACACACAGACGTGCATTCACATAGCTCGTGGGCTTGGAGGGAGAGAGAAAGAGAAAGTGTGTGTGTGTGTAAGAGAAAGAGGGGAGAGAAAGCGAGCGAGAGAGAGAGTGAAATGTTCCCACTCCCTCCGCACGAGGGCAAGCTAGAGTGGCAAACTTAAAACTATTAATTTTTATGTACGCTGCCAACTGAACATTAGAATCGGTTACTGTATTAATTAGCAGGCTACTTGCAGGTTCGTAGACATTGAGGAAAAGAAAGGGACCGCCACTGATTCTAGGGGGTTTAATTGTTACAATGGTACCGCTGACTCACCTGGTAAAATTCGCAATAATGCAGACTCAAAATCCAGATGCATTGAAACACAACTGTTTTTTTTTACACAGCGTTGTGCTTTTCCACCTTTGAATAATAAAATTGTAAGTTGAGGGGTTCGTAGTTTTTACTTTACGAACGGCAAAAGGAAAGATGGAATCCTTTGCATGCAGTTTTATTGAGAAGGAAAAAAAGACGTCTGAGCCGCAGCACGTTCGAGAGCAACTCCTTCTTCCGCTACTAAAACACTTCCTGTTTCCTTCAGCCAATCAGACGCTCTGAACATAAACATGTTTAAGAAATTATCAAAGAGAATTAAATTTAGGTAACTTTAACATCACAGACAATACTGTAATGTTCAAACATAAAATGATAATAATTAACAATTTCACAAAAGCTTACAAAAAAATAAAACAAAATAAAAAATAAATACAGGCGGCATGGTGACCAACTGGTTAGCACGACAAAAACGTTCAAAAACATGCATTTCAGGTTCATGGAAATTGTCCCGAAGTGTGATTGTAAGAGCGAATGATCGTTCGTCGATGTGTGCCACCCTGCGATTGGCTGGCAACCGGTTCAAGGTGTATCCCGCCTACTGCCCGAAATGACAACGAAATCACAATTGAGGCTCATTTAGTTTTGTCTCCCGCCAGTTACCGTCGACGCTAAATACGCCTTGTTGGCGGAACTACTTCTAGATTTCTACTGCCACCTACAGGTTAGTCTTCCAATTACATTAGGGGGAAACCAAACCAAACAAACTCGTATCCAATAAAAAAGTGTGATTTAATACTATTGCACAAGATGGAACATAATAGATATAAGTGGCATTAAATTGTTTGTCTTGATTTCTTTCTAAAGATCTGTCAAATTTGTGCGGTCTTTTCATTTGCAGTGAGGACTAGTTAGGTGACTAAACGAAGAGTGGCTGTGGTAAAAGCGCCCACAAAACAATGTTAGTGTGCAACAAAGATTTTATGTCACTTACCTGCAGCAAACAAACGGAAGAGCTCCAACAACATGCTATTTGGTTTGCAGCTGTTGCCACGCGAGCGGTAAACCGGAGGGATGAACTGGCACACGTTCTTGGATCAGGATTTACACATTCATGTATGTTTTTTGGGTTTGTTTTTTTTCTGTGTAACTGTCAAAAATAAGTAAATAAATGAATACAGTGTTGTTGCTTTCACATCTAACTCCATAAAATCTTAGACGACTGTGATTCGTGTCCCTGGGGGTTGCATTTCCTGCGATGAATGACGACGAAATTAATCCTTTTTAATAGATTTCATTTTGCATTAAAATTGATGACAACAAACCAACATACATGCCCCACAACAACCTCCAAGGCGATTTCATCTCCTCTTTCCGCGAGTTACTGAGACAAGCTAGCATCGTTGGTTCTCATTTAGTCTTTTTTTTGATTCATTTGTCGATTTTTTTTTCAAATCAAGAAAAAAAAATGTTATTTTTGATTCCTGTGTGTGGATAGGGGTCCTAACGATTCCACACTTGCACACCAGCAAACTAAGCTGAAGAAGCTTACCGCGTCTCTGCCAAATTGGGTTTTGCAATCTTCACTCATTGGGCATAAACAAATTGAGAGCTTCCAGACTTGCTTTGCATAACAAGTGAGAAAATGGCTCACACATTTCAACATCCCCTCCATCTCCGACACGTCGCCAAGTCCCAGCCCACAAAAGGCGGGTGGGCCAAAGTTGCGCAACATGCATTGCAACCTCTGTGCCGCGGGCCAAGCAGTTGGGCTTCTAATAATGTTGCAAAATGGTCCATTTTGTGTCCCGAAATCCCGTCATTTTTTGGACCAAACCCGAAGCTCATGAGCAGCTGTCCACATAGACTCCGAAGAGTAATGAGCTAATGAACACCACACCCACAAATGTGATCAATTTGCATTTGGAAGGTGATGTTTGTAAGTCCTGAAATTGACTTTGATCATTTTTTTTTATTTATGCAGTGGGGGGAGGGGGAGGCATGACACAATTGATGGTCAAGCACAACCGATGACCACATGGTGAAGCAAAGCAAAGTCATTTCCAAAAGGTAAGTCACTTTTTAAGGGTTACATCGTGGAAATTATGAGGATGAAAAAAGATAAAAATCCCGAATTGTCCACCATTTTTGTATACAGCACAAAAAATGTCATGTCGAGTCATGAAGAAAGGATTCTGAAGGTAAGTTTTCAATGCTCGGAAAGAAAAGTATACGCCTCAGCAGTCATTTTAAGGGGTTCTTTCAGTAAATATGAGTAAGATGTAAAAAAGAAAAAACAAAAAAAAAACAATAAAACTGGGGAACAATTTGAAACAAAAAAATCTTTGGAATTTAATTTGTATGCCGATTGAAATTAAATTGCAGTCAGTTTTTTTTTTTTTGTAACACACTAAGTTTTTTTTCTCCACAGCTCACCCTCCAGAAAAGTCAAATTCCACCAGCTGTAGTGGCAAATTGAAGTCACAATTGAAACAGTGTGGTGAGAGGTGTGTGCAGCTCCCAATAGGTCAGTGCTATCAATGTCAGCAAACGGGAAGCTAGGATAGTAGGAATTAAGAGGATGAATGCTGGCCTCTCTTCAACCATGTAACCATGGGCAGGCCGTTATATTCTTTTTTGCAAGTTTTTTTGGTTTGTCTTCAAAGCTTGTAACTATTCTATCTTAGTGTTTTGAATACACATTTATTTATTTTATTAAAGTGGGGATCTGAGAGAATTGACATGATAGAGAAAACCTTGAGCTCGGTTTTGGATTCCACACTTGAAAATGGATTAAAAACAGCTGTCAGACCTAACTCAACAAAAATTGTGTTCCCCAGTGTCATAAGAACCGATTTTAAAAGTGGTTCTTCAAGGGAAATGTTGCTGTTTTATTGTCAGTCACATCTTCTGTCTCTGATTTTGTTTTTCCGTGGGCGTGGTGGTTTCCAAAAAGCAAATTAGATTTTAACAAATAAGACCAAAAAAAAAAAGGGTTTCATTTTGTGTTTTTTTTTTTTTTTTTTTTTTAATCAAATGCTATTTCGCCCGATATGAAACCACGAAAACGTAGTTTTGAAAAATCCCGAATCTTAGCCTACGGTGCTGATTGCAAGGATCGACGTCTTTTTTTCTCCGAAGACAATAACATCTTTTTGGGCTGCTTCGTGACTCCAGATATTCCGAGGCCGTTATTATTATTCAACTTGATGATGGACTATGTTGCATAAGTCTCCATTATAGATTGGGCGAAACCGCCACTGGATACCCGCCAAGAGAGCAATAGAAATAAAACTGGAGATGAGGTGATATCGGTGAGTCATTTTTATTCCGGGGAGGTGGGTTGGTGGGGGACTTACTCCGAAAGTATTGCGACCCACTTCTTAAGCCGTTACATAATCAGCGAGGAGTCGGACTGCATCCGAACGATAAACAGTGGTAGCTGTAGCATGAGCGAGTGAATGGAGTAGGAGGTCCGGTCGGTGCGCAAGCTATCTTTAGATTGGCGGGTTAACCTCATGCAGACCTTGCCTGGAGCCAAAATGAGAAAGAGAAGCGGAGAGATTACATGGCTCACATGCTGGAGCAACACAGTGCAAATCCCTCCTTCCAGTATGTTGTTTTCACCAAGCAGCCTGTCAGAAACAATTACGTTGGTCTCAAGGAGTTCTGTCACGAGAGATTCGAACTGAAAGTGACTGGCAACGGAGGCGAAACGGTCGCAACCCCTCCACCCCTCCCCAGCGCCTCGGCTCGAGCGCTACCTTGATGGTGACTGCCTGTAATTTGAAACATCACACAGGAACGCGTAGAATGAAGTGAGTTTTACATCTGCACTTCAATATGCATCGGTGTTAGGATCCGTGAAAAGAAATCTCCATGAATTTATGTTAGCGAGGAGAAATGTGTACTAAAGTGACCTTTTCACTTTGAGTAGACCCTAATTAATCCCAAACGGGAATGTGAAAGATATCAAATGAATTATGTACGTGCAAAAACACTTCATTAAGTACGAAGGCAGAATTTAATGGAATCCAGTGCATGAGTCGTATAGAAAAAAACCAAATAAACTGCAGACCGCCGCCATGATTGACGACTGGGATGGACCATTTTTTTGGGGGGGGGGGGGTTTCTGGGGGGGCAGGAACCATTTCTTTTTGACTGAAAAATCAACACATCAGTCGTCCACGTTTGGTTGCACAGATCTTCATCAATTTTAAACAATCGAAAAGCGTCCAATCAACCCTTGTTTTCAAAGGGTTTCCGAATGAAAAAAACAAACATTTTAAATAGATTCACAAAGTCAAAATCTTGAAGCCATGCTGCTTGTTCAGAAGTTCCTGAGGAAAACCCAAACACAATGTCAAAAAAAAAAAAAAATCAAATACAATCACAGCTCTATGAGAATTCACGTAGAAATGTCAAAAACATCAGAAGCCTTTTAAGTTATTAAGAAAAATTTAAGTCTGGCTTGAAATAAAAACAAAATGTCACGAAATAAAACCTGTAAGGTGAGAGTTTGAAAGTTTGTATGAGTTTTCTTTTCCATGCGTTTTCAATTGATCCAGCCTAACGAGAACAACAAGGCCTTTTCTGTCGACATTATGGATTCCACGCGGACGAGCGCAGACGCTCGGCTAATTTACAGTGTCGATAGCGGCTATGTTGTCCTTTAGCATCAGCGTCCACATGTTGTTTGGAAACCTTGACCCTGATATTGACACGCAAGTGGTGGAACTGTTCCCAGAAATGGAAAAGCACATATGGTACTTTCATTTTGATTCGTCTGCACTGAAATAAAGATTGAAAACTAGCGCTGACGTTGTTGCATAATGCCCCCGCTAATCGTGAACGAAAACGTCCTTGGCACGGGAGCCAGTTTTATTTGATTTCTTCTCCTGTTGACAAGATTCTTTGTCTTTTCAGCCTTTCCGTAGCTTGACCGTGTCAGTCCGAGTCATATCTCCCGCTAACCCTCTTCCGAAATTCAATAACATCCCATTTTGTCGGAACTGTCGTCTTTCACTATGCACAGAAGTGGACCCGAGGGGAGAAATATGAACAATTTCCTCTATTAGTGATCGTATTCCTTTTTTTTTTTTTTTTTTTTTGCCACTTTACTCCACGTGAGTGTGTGGCTGTATGTGTGTGTTTCTAAACATAAACTCCACAGGGCACATTTCCTCAAGTGTGATCTAAATAATAAATGTCTCATATCATCTCCAAATCCAGGCTAGCATGCCTTCCAGTGACGAGCATGGTTATCCCAAATGTAAAAAAAAAAAAAAAAAAACTAGAAAAACCTAGCCTTGGCTTGAATGAATAACAAGTTTTAAGAGGTTCTGACGAAAAATCCAAGGAGGTATATGTATTTTTGTTTTTGTTGTTGTTGGAAAAGAGCAGAAAAGAATTTTTCATCGCTAGGTTACCTGAAGTCTTCCCAATGGCAGGTTATTTTTTGCATCCAGTTGAGAGTCAGGAAGGGGTGGTTATGAAATCTTGTGCTCAATTATTTTCCTTGTGAGAAGGCGACCTTTCATTCAAGCGGCAGATGAACGCTGGCATTAGCATACAAATATTTGTCGTCGACGCGGTTCAGCGTGCGTCGCGATGACTCCAGAGAGACGGATAAAAAAGCAAGTACGCTTGGCAGATGGGGGGATTTCAAAGCGAGCGCTGTTGGTTTTATTCGGGTGCTTTATTTGAGAGTTCTTAGTGTCCACTTTTCTTTTATTGTACAGCATCTTTCTTCTCGTATCTTTTTATTGAATCTCTTGAAAGGTGGGAAGTCCGAAATAACCCGGACAAAAAGAAGAACAAACAAGCACCGAGGCCACGATGGCGTTTGTGTTCGCTTTGCTTGGAGAGATGGATTGTTTTATCCGTTTTTATGCAGGACCCTGGTTGATCTGTTAATAAAGTCACAAGTATGTTGCCTCTTTTTATAGTTATAAAAAAAAAAAAAAAATCTGGTCATTTTAGTTCTCGCAATTTTTTTTTTTTCTTAGTGGCAGGTGTGGGGCTCCCTTGGGGCTTTTTGCTGAGTCGGATGGCACTGTGGGCGCCGCACAAAGTGCCGCTGTCCCACCCAGGTCGAAAACGACTTCTGCCGTGCTCAGTTGCAAAATAATGAGCTCAGGTTGTAGTTTTTGCTCCCTTGAGGATCATTTGCATGAGGGCAAAAAGACTTAGCGGTGGTCGTTGCGCCCTTAACGACCGTTGAGTTACGGCTGCGAATCTAATGGCGACAAAGCATGTTGAATCATCGGCCATTCTTAAGGGTTCTTCAGGAAACTAGAAGATTAGCGTTTGGAGAAAACTCCCAAAAATAAAAATTCTGGCTCTGCATCAAATGTCTAAAAATGACCGATCCACACCTATTTTGAATGACTTTTACTGTCCAAAATATTAGCTCTGCAGCCATTTTTTTGTGTTACTAGGGAAAATCAAAGGAAAACGTCTAGAACATCTTCATCAGTATTAATAATACAGTAATCCCTCGTTTATCGCGGTTAATGGGGACCAAAACCACCCGCGATAAACGAAAATCCGCGAAGTAGCAACCAATTAACATAAACAGGTTAAAAATGTTTTTGTTTTATTTATTTATTCATTTTAATCCACAAAAAGTCCGCAAACGGTCCGCGAGAAGCTGCAAAACAACAGCGAGTCACATAGAGCAACATATACAGTATTGTACTCATGTATATTAAAAAATATATATATTTTTTTTTCTATGTTTGAAAAAATCCACGATGCACTGAACCCGTGATAAACGAACCGCGAAGTAGCGAGGGATCACTGTACTAACATTAAAACAAAAAATGAGACCCCACCCAATATTGGACAACGAATCAAACAATTTGGGGGTGTTGTGAATGCTTTACAAATGTGTGAATGCATTGATTGATGAAGTAATCCATTAGGAAGCTTCCGCTCACTTCTCCCTGGACCGCCAACTACGGTGACTTAATAGATCCCTTCGGGATTGGCGCGCACTGAGCTATGGGACAAAATTGTTAGGCTGCCATTGGCCTCGAGAAGACCTGCGCATAAACAAGATCGTGGTTGTGTGTGTGTGTGTGTGTGTGTGTGTGTGTGTGTGTGTGTGTGTGTGTGTCTGGGAAAGTGCAGACTTGCAAGAAACTTGGGAAAGTTTACAGGGAAAAAATGTTGAAGTTGATATAGGTCATAAAAGCACAAGTACACACTGCAATGCAATGCTTGTAATAAAGAGAATCTGTTGTTGCCACGGCGACTACGGATTGCCCAATTTAGTGTTCTATAAAGCAAGCCAGTAAAAGAAAGTAACCTTTTCTTTTTCTTTTTTTTCTTTTTTTTTTAACATACCAAATTGTGAACCCAACCGAGGTCCAGAACACATTTGGCATTTCAGCAGCAAGGTACCCCCCCCACCCCCAAAAAAAGGCAGAGCTAAAACCACAAGTCTATTGACTTGTCAAAAGTAAATTGTGAGAAATGACAACTAAACCTGATTGTTACAGGACTGATCTTGCAAAAAAAAAAAAACCCAAAAAAAAAAATGAGATCATCGTGAAAGACAATTTGGATCATTTTCCCACAGTCCTATACTAAAACAAACATTTGCTAGCTAAATTAACACAGCCTACCACCACGAAATAGAACCAATTGTAATCCCTCCGCAGATGATCAAATATAATCCGATCCCCCGGCGGCCTTTTAATCACAGCAATTAGCATATTCATACGCTAGTTGCACGGGCACAACTGACGCCAAAATCACTCAACACACAAGTTGACGAACGTGACGAGTCGATTGACAGCCAGCCAACCCTGCGCTCTCCTTTGGTGATTCCCATGTCACTCAAAAGCCTAGGCTCCGCCTATCAAAGTCACAGATGCTACCGTGTGGAATGCGAGGAGCGCCCAAAAAAGAAAAAAAAATCTAACCTGCCCCTCCCATGCATATTTTGGATTGGTATTATGCATAAAGTTTTAAAATAGATTTGAATTAATGTTCTGGAATGTGTTTCTTCAAGTCAGAGGTTGCTCTTGGGCTCAGCTTGTGGCTGTTTTTAACAGCATGTTCCTGGATCCACTACCTTCCCCCCCCACCCCTTGTCTTTTAGCCTCTGCAGTTCAAAGCAAATCGTCTGATTTTAAATACGTAATTTGAAGTTGATGTGGAGGTCTGTGAGTTCTTGTGCAGGGGATAAATAGCGCCAGCGCTCCTCGGGTCAGCATCCAAGCTGTCTCGGTGCAGTTAGCTGTGGAATTGGATTAAGTTTATTGTGGCAATGCTGCGTCGTTTTACTGGCGCCGTCTGACCTTAAGCTCCCAGCTCTTTATGTATTCATAACGGAGCTCCATAGAGAAGAAAAAAAAAAACGTGTGTTACATTAGCATTTTGCATGTATTATTTACGCATCAGGGTGAAACATTGGCATTCTATAAGGGTGCTGGTTCATGAAACAGTTCACATATCAAACGTGGCGCAATAACCTGCCGCAGCAATGATTGTCCCGGCCTGGCCTCTGTGCACATAAGCACTTCGTAAAACCAAGTGGTGGGATGTTAGGGCCTTCTTCTTTTTTTTTTTACAACCTGAAATCTAATATTTGTTCCATGACGTTATAATTATTTAACAGTCTATTCTCTTCATTAGGTAGTGTCGCTCCCGCTTCCAGTACATGTATATTTATGTAGGATTTTATTTTATGATTATTATTTTTTAAGTGCAATCATAATTCAACGTCCGTGTGCTGCCCAGGGCCTCCAGAACTAATTGTGGTGGCACTGGTAACCTAAATACGATATTAACAATGAGACTGTTTCTT